ATTAAAAATAAATCGAATTTTAAACTTTAAAAATAAAAAAAAGAGATTTTTTCAATATAAAAATAAAAAAGTAATTTTTTTTCAATAATAGATAGACAAAAAAAAGTATTTAATCTTTTGTACACAAATGTGTGGTTCAAGCGACAACCGAAACCCAATTATAAATTCCTTGCAGAAAAATGCTCACCGTCCACCTCAAAACACGCTCCCCCGCTTTAGCCTTTGCATTAAGATTCTACCAAATCTCTTTCCAACTTTCAAAATATAAGTTTCTTTCATATATATTTTCTTATTAATCCTTTAATATTCAGTAATTATATTAAATTTTAAATAATTTATAATCAAGTTATGTCGGATCCTATAAAAAAAAATTTTTTTTAGTGGTTGTTTCTTTATTAATGAGATTTAAATTTGATATCTTATTTAAAAATAATTAAATTTCTTTCATTTGGATTAATGTATCATTGGTTTATATTTTGTTTTTAACCAAAAGAAAGAGTTGCACTTAACAAGGTCCATATTACGTACTCGAAACCATCCTCATTTTTTTCTGAAAACTTTTTGATTCCGCCAGTTCCAGATTGCCCACACCGCTGAATGCCTAACTACACCCGATGTTTCCTTCAATCCTCTCCAAGGTATCAAGTTCCTGTGCTGTAGGAAATGAATCTGCCCCCATCTACGCAGCAAGATGGAACCCTCCACCAACTATTCTAATTTGTTCAATATGCTCTAAGGAGAATAACATATTTTATATTTAAATAGAATAAACATTTTATATTCAAAATGTAGACATGTAGGTATATAGATAAAGAGATGGAAGAAACTTATTTTTTATTGTATAATTTAAAATAATAAATAATAAGGGTTTTTTAAATTTGTATCATAAGAGTATTTTTATTATAAATGTATATAAAAAATTATAAAAATTGATATTAATTTTAGTATAATGTCAAGTAAATAAATTTAATTAAATAATTAATAAATTAAATTATAATTTTTATTTTTTAAATATAAATTTATAATAAAAATATATATTTAATACATATTTAATTTATACCTTAAAGCTAACGACCCAAGTAACTTAAGTAACTTAATAGTAATTTTTTTTTTTTGAAAGTAAAAGATTCTAAATTCGAGTCGCATGATATACATGTGGAGTGAAATAAAAAATAGAAAAGAATTACCACTCATTATGCAATCAATCATAAAAAAAAAAAATAATACCTTAAAATATAAATTCGATAAATTTTAAATAATAAATAATAATAACTTCATAACTAGAAAGTAGATCACTTCTTTTTCTAAGACCAATCAGATTATTATACATCTTATCTGCCCTCCCAACACCAATAACGTCACAAATCAATATAAAATGATATCAACAAGAGTCCCAAAATTATTGCCAAAAATAGCGACCTCCAAGCGCAATTTGTTGATGCTCATGTGCGTGAACGATGGATGGAACAAGACTGTTTGTTTTTTTTTTTTTGTAATAATGGAACATGAATGTTACTTTCAAATTTTTTCCTCCCACACAATAAAGGCAAAAAGTTATTACAAATCTCAAATTATCTAAAATTTTGATGACAAATGAAACGCATCACCCCATTAAGGCTGAAAATAGGTGAGGCGGGCGTCAGCACGGAATGGCGATTCCTTCTTTTTTCTCTTATCGATTGGACATCTTACCTGCCATTTCAATTTTTTTTTGAACAGCGAAAAAGTTATTTATTATTAAACGGAATACAAGGGGTACTCCAAACCCATAGGTAACAAAAGCTTAATACAAGGTGTCGACACTCACACAAAGTGTCGACACTATGTCCGTAACGAGGGTTCTAGCCTCTTTTGCCAATACATCATATCACCCTGTTCAAATCAACATCCCTCACCCGGACCACCCCAACAAAACCTGCGAGGCATTGATCATGTATTGACTATAGCTAGAACTACTACAGTCAATAATTGCTCAATACACCTTTGTGATCCCCCTTAACTCAGCAATTCGACCCCTAGCAGTAAAAATCATAGACTAAATACCTCCCAGAAAATCACCTACCCTCTCGACCTACTATTAATTCATTTGGTACCCTTCTTTTCCTACGGCAATCATTCAAGCATGCAACTGGATTAATGAACCAGTCCGATAACGTGAAGGCATACCTGTCGTTTCTTGCTCTAATCCATATGAAAGATCTTAGTTGAATTAATTCAAACAGCTTCCCCGCATTTATTTCTTTGTGCTGGAATAATTTCTGATTGCGAGCAAGCCACACTGTCCACACCACCGTACTCCATATACAATCCCATCCTTGTCTTGTCCGTGTTCCTTTACTCCATTCTCCAAAACTTTCGAATGTCTTCAAGCAATCGATGTCAATTTTTGCCTCTGCCCCCCACCATTTGGCACATGCCTCCCACAGCCATTGGGTCATCCTGCACCTTAGGAATAAATGGGCTGCGTCCTCCTCATGTTCTTCACATACAACGCACTTGCTCTCCTCCATGTCTTTAATAACCCCCCTTTTCAGCAAGTTCATCTTGGTTGGTATTCTATCTAGCACTAGTTGCCAATTGAATGCCGAAACTTTGGTCGGGAGACTTGGATTCCATACTCTCTTGAATATTGAGTGCCCACATGGCCCGCTGTGGTCCGGTGCTAATATGTGGTATGCTGATTTCGATGAGTAGTGTCCCTCCTTGTCGTGAATCCATTCCCATTTGTCGGGCCAGCCGGGATTAACCTTTACGCCCTCTATCATCCTTTCGAGATCCACGACCTCTTCCGCTTCCCATTCGAATAGGTTTCTTCTCCAAGTTAACTTCCATTCCCACGATCCACTTCTTATGCTGCCCATTTGATTGCATGAGTTCTCCTTCCCTGTTGACAGAAGATACAGCCTAGGGAATTTATTAGCAAGGCAACCCTCCCTCCCCCAGCTGTCCCACCAAAAGCTGGCTGATTTTCCATCCCCAATATTCATTCTAAATCCCTCCGACAGCCATCCTACACTCTCCTCATTCACTCTATTAAGTCGGCATACATCCCTCCACCAAAGGGATCCCCCTCCATTGTTTTCTTTGATCCAGTCCATCCAGTGCTTCCCAACCTTAAGATATTTCGTAGAAATTATTTTCATCCATAGTCCTTCATCTCCCTTTGCTAAACGTCCCCACCATTTCCCCATCAGAGCCAAATTAAACTTCCTCAGATCTCTCACTCCCAGCCCTCCCTTATCTTTGCTTTTACATACCTCCCCCCAGCTTACCCAGTTTATTTTCCTCTCCTCTGCCCCCCCTCCCCATAAAAAATGTCTGCGGATTTTATCTATTGAAAGGAGTATACCTTTAGGGATTAAATAGGCTGACATGAGGAACACGGGCAGAGAAGACAACACTGAGTTGATGAGCGTGATACGACCACCCATAGAAAGGAAACGACCCTTCCAGCTAGCTAATCTCTTCTCAACAGATTGTACCATTGATTGCCACATTGATTTCCTTCTGTTATTCCCCCCTACTGGGATTCCCAAGTATTTAAAAGGAAGTTCCCCTTCTTTACAATGCAATCTATAAGCCATCTCTGTTAGCCATCTCTCCTCCACTCCCACCCCCATTAAATGGCTTTTTCCGAGATTGATCTTTAGTCCTGAAGCCAGCTCGAAGGTCCTCATAATGGCCTTCACCGCGCTTATGTTATCTTCCGACGCCTCCCCAAAGAACACCGTGTCGTCCGCGAACTGCAAATGAGATACCATGACACCTTCATTCCCTACCCTCACTCCTTTATATGTTCCTTTATCTACTGCTGATGCCATTAAGCCATTCAAACCTTCTGCCACTATCAAGAACAGAAATGGTGATAGCGGGTCGCCTTGACGAATGCCTTTGCTAACCGAGAATTGACGTGTTGGGCTACCATTAATTAGGACAGAAACTGAGCTCGATCTTAGGCACTCCATTATCCATTTCCTCCATGTTTCATTAAATCCCAGCCTCATCATCATGTAGTCCAAATATTCCTAGCATACTTTGTCATAGGCTTTCTCAAAATCTACCTTAAAAATGAAGCAATTTTTCCTCTTCCTTTTGACTTCATCAATGACTTCATTTGCAATGATAACCCCATCCACTAATTGTCTACCCCCAATAAATGCCATCTGCTGCTCCCCGATGACTTTGGGTAACACCTTTCGCAGCCTGTTCGCTAACAACTTTGCTAAAATCTTGTATATGACCCCTATGAGAGAAATGGGTCTATACTCTTCGATTCTCTGGGGGTTTTCGGACTTTGGGATCAGCACAATGAAGGATGCATTGGCTCCACGGACAATTCTACCATGATTATGGAACTCCTTGATGAAAGCAACTACCTCCTTCTTTATATCTTCCCACATCTCTTTAATGAATCTGAAATTGAATCCATCTGGGCCTGGAGATTTGGACGAATCACAATCCCATACTGCTTCCTTCACTTCCTCCTCTGAAAAAGCTCTCGTGAGAAGCTCATTGTCCGCTTGAGATACTTGCTTGAAGTTAACTCCATCCAGCTTCGGTCTCTTCCATCTTTCTTCTGTATACAATGTTTGGAAATATCTGGCCACCTCTTCTTTAATTTTCTCCACTCCCGTGACCTGAACGCCATCTATCTGTACAGAATTAATTTCACTTCTTCTCCGCCTTCCTTGGATGCAATTGTGAAAGAATCTTGAATTCGCATCTCCTTCTTTTAGCCACATCTTCCTTGATTTTTGTTGCGACATCCTCTCTTTGATACTTAAGTTCTCCCATAATTCAAGAAAGCTGTTTCTCCTCATTTCAATCTCATCTGTGGATAGCTGGTTGTTCTCACCTTTCTCATCTATCTCAGCTATCATATTTT